ATTATCCAAATTTTAACTTATTTTTTTCTCTAATATTAAAAAAACTGATATTTTTTATTAATTTAATTTACTGAAAGAAGGTAAAGTTCAAATATTGCGGTGATTTACTTTAAAATCACTTGCCCCAAACATTTTTTTTATCACTTAGTCTTATTTAAAAATTAGAATATGCAATTTAACTTTTCGACCGTATCCTATAATGTAACTTTTTTTCCTTTCTATTTTCAACAATTTTAAGTTTCAACCTCACAAGAATATGCAAATTTGCAAAATACATGTATATATATATTTTAATCTTGAAAGTCTATTAATCTATGTATAGGGTGTAAAGTACTTGATCTGTTCAAAATTACACATAATTTAATGCATGAATATACAAAAGGAACGATGTCGTCTTCTTCATCTTATGCCAGTCTCATGGGTGGAATACAAAGTGCTGATCGTAGATGTTGTTATCCAATTCAGATAGCATTGACACACACGAAGGAGGATTTCATGCTTTGTTTATTGTTCATTCAGGCAAAATAAACAAATTATGTAATTTTAAGTGGTATTTAGGTTGATTTGGACTTAAAAAATAATAATGAGAGATAGTGATTAATAAAATAATCAAAGAATATATGATTTCCAAGAAAATCACATGAGGTATCTAAACTTTATCTTTGAAAAAAATTACACAACTTGAAACTTGCAGCGAGTTCAACTTGAATTGAAAGTGGATTATGAAATGTTCACCCTACCTTATTATTATTATTATTATTTTGATAAATACCTTATTTATTCTTTAATTAAGACTAAATTTGGTTCTCATCTTAAAGTTTTGTAGGGATTAATATTTTTCATGACAAAAGAGATAAAATTATCTCCTACATATATATAAAAATGTGTGGAGTTTATGGTTTCTCTCTCTCTTTTCCTTATAAAACCCTACATGGGCCCTAACCACATATTTTTATGTATGTGTAAAGATAAAATTATCTTCTACAACATGAGAAATATTAATCCCAATTTGATATTGATACTTTTTTTCAATGATGACAAGTGACTTGTGAGTCTATAGTTAAAGGGAAATCAAAGTCTCCTATTAGAGTGAACTTAATTTTTCTCCTGCTATCACTATAAAAAACCGTGCATCCCTTTCTGTTTTGTTTTTTTTTTTTAATATCGCCCACCGTTTTTTCTATCTGTTAAAGAGAAATGGTGTCTTCCTGTCGTCACAGGTGAGCCATCAATCCCATAATTAAATTCACCTCAATCAATTGATAGTATTTTTAACTTTTAATTTTTTGATAAATAATTTATGGAAAAAATGTGTGTCATTTTAAATGACACACTTTATATCCTCTCATTCTCACAAAGAGGTGAGACCCACACCTTTAAAACTTTTTTCACCAATTCTCTCTTATGATTTATCTCTTTCTCTCACTTAAAATGACACACCTTATATCATTTAATTCTCACAAAGAGGTGAGACTCACACCTTTAAAATTTTTCCCACCCATTCTCTCTCCTATGATTTATCTCTATCTCTCACTTAAAATGACACAACTTTGTGTCCTTCAAAATAATACTCATCTTTCCCATAATTTATAATCCTTAGATTTCCTTTCAAGTTTGGAGATTATCTTTTCACGCATAATATAAACATTTAAGATGTATCTAAGCATCCAGTATGCATATGCATTTGAATATAGGGAAATAACTTTTTTATATTATAGGAAAATGATTATTTCCTGATGTAGAAACAAAATTACAAGAGAGACTCACGTGAAAGAGGAAAGAAAGAAAAAAAGAAGAAGATGAGACTCACTCCCTTTTTGGGTGTGTAAAATTTATTTCTCTTATATAAAATGAGATAAATATAACTTTACAATATATCTACTTTTTTGATAAATGGGAAGCAAACACCCAAGTAAGAAGAAACTATTTATCAATTACTCTGTCAAAAGAGACAGAGCTAGCATCCGCAATCAAAACAACAGAAACACAAGGGGAATGAACACATGCAGGCCCAAAGGGATTGAAATACCTCCTTACATAGTTTTGATTTACTTTTCTCTCTTGCTTTTTCACCTTTGCTTGTTTTTAGTACCTCCTCTATATAATCACGACAAACAAATAATAGTAAACTTTAACTAAATTTAAGGATAATTGTTGGATAAGATAAAAAAATAAAATAAAAATAACTTATTCTTCTAAAAATTAACAAGTATGCAAACTTATTAAAAGTCCTGATGAACTGTTAAAAAATTTCTACCAAAAAAAAAAAATCAATTGCAGTGATAATGCGTTAAACTGAAGCAGTTAAACTAAGACTGAACCTTATGTTATGAATTTAAAACCTTAACATAACGATGTGTATGCCAAATTCAATATCATGGTTTGTATTTTTTGATTTATTTTTTTCGGTTCCCCCTCCCACTTTGCTCTCCTTCCCCATCTCCCATGTCAGGAAAATAACAATTGCATTGCAGAATGGTCCAAACACAACCCAGTTAAACTGAGTCCAAACCTTGTACAATGGGCCAAGCATAAAAGGGTTGGGTCTCTTCAAACATTTTCAAGTTCGACCTGTCAGGTGTGAGGTCGCCAAGTTGCAACCATCCTCGGGCCTCACCTAATTTGGTTTATCAATAGACGCAGCACAAAAAAAGGCTTTACACCAACAAGAGGATAAAGAATTATCACAAACCGTAGCAGCAACTCAATGACTGAGCTGGAACTGTGTCGGTGGTTTTGTTTTATAGTGACTGTTTGGATTCTCTTACTTTTAAGCTAGAAGCTACTTATAAACATAAGTTAGGTCAAACAGGTTTTGGAAAAAGCTCTTATAACGAAAATCTTTTTTTTTTTTTATAATGAAGAAAAAGCTAAAAATTAAAATATCTATTTTTCTTGAATTGTGTGCTCTCTTTTTTTTAAATGAAGAGTGATAAAGATAGAGAAAGAGATAATTTTCTTGAAATATGTGCTTTTAAAGTAATTTTTAAGCTAAATTTTTTATGTAATTTTCAAACAGCTTTTAGCTTCTTTTTTTAAGCTCTTTTTTTTAACTTTAGCTTATAAGTAACTTCTAGCTTAAAAATAAGAGGATTCAAATAGGCTCTAATCTTGGTCCGGTCATTTTTCATTGACCAGATATTTGTTTTTTATATTATCACTAGCTTCATCAATTACTTTACTAATTTGATTTGAGTGAGATAAGATTATATAGGCAATAAAGCTTTTTTATCAATTTTCACTGATAGTTCAGTTAACAATTGAGTTCTTAAGAGTTTGTTTGGATCATGAGTTCAAAAAACAAATTTTTGAAATTTTTTTGGGAGTCTTTCTTCTTTAATGAGAGATTAATCTTATCTTTTTTCTAGTGATAAAGTTCAATGCATCGCTCTGTTTATCAAATTTTAACACAATTACCTTATCAGGATTGATTAAACTAAAACAATCATCATTTACCATTTGATCTGGTCATTTTTCATTAACTGAATAACAATATTTGCACATGGGAATCACCATTTTTTGGGTAACAAGGGAAACGCCCCCATTTTTTAATAAGTTTATTGTAGCCGTGGCCATCACAATCCCCCACCCCTTTATACTTAAGAAAGCAAATTTTCTTTAACTATGCTCTTAATATACATGAATCTGTATCTTTGAAATCATGTCGTTAAGCAAATTTTCTTTAACTATGCTCTTTAACTATGCTCTTTTAACTATGCTCTTAATATACATGAATCTGTATCTTTGAAATCATGTCGTTGTTAAGTTTCTTTCCTTATCGCTAGGTACTCTTTGATTTTTATGACATACTTTAACAATGTAAATTATAAAATGTCAAAACTTTTTTTGCATATGAAACTTCGTTTTCTAGAGAAGTGACAATCCAACCTCATATCCTGAGAGATTTCAAAATCTCACCATAAGTATATTGTTATATTAATTTTATGATGCCATGTTTTTATTTAAGGAAGTCTGAATAAATGCCCAATTTTCCTTTCTTAAGCCTGAGAGTAGACAACATTTTTTCTTTCCCACTTAAGATTTAATAAAAATTCGATACCAAACTTATTTGGTCATCCAGTTGTATTTAAAAATGAGATAAAATTACCGTACTCATACGCTGTTTTGTCTGAAAAGAAACTTCCAGATCTGACGCTTAGATTATCCTATTCTATTTCGATGCAATTATTTTAGGGATTAGTATTTAGAATAAAGGGGCTTGTAATTTCTCATGTTGCATAAGAAATTTAAGTTTTCCTACAGAGAGAAAGTGGTGGAACCTACCTTAAAAAAATAAAAAAATAGGAAAAATGATTAGCATGGATATTGAAGTGAGAGTGATAGGAGAGGAGATTTATCATGCAACATGAGAAATTTTTTTTCCTAGAATAAATTATGTTATTTTAGTCAAAATTGTTGTATTTTATAATTTGAGAAATAGAAGTTATGGTGAGAAAAAATAATTTTTTTTTAATTTAAATATTAAATAAACGGAAAAATATTTATCTTTTTAAAGGACGATTATTTTAGTTAAAATTAATATTTTTTATTTAAAATTTAAATTAAAAAATCATTCACTTTCTTCCGCGTAATTTTTATCGTGTACATCTTTTCCTCATTTGAAATGACATAATTTTATATCCTTTACTAAATAGTAGGACAAACACCAAACCCATAAATAAACACAACAGTTTTATTAAAATTATTGTCTTTAAGTAGACAAACATTTTTTCTTTTATTTTATTATATATTTCTAAAATTTAATCTTAAGTTTTCCTCGCAGATCTGATTTGAAAGGAAAAACCACTGGAAGTTACTTCCTAATTTCCACTACCAATCCCAATCATATAAAAGAATTAAATTCCTATCCTGCCCTCGCTTCACTTGAGAGCAGTGACGTGGCAAAATCAGCGAGGCGTTTGAGAGTAACCGTACCCAATTGATAACCGGAGAGAAGACTCTGCCTCGTTCTTCAACCCCTTATATCACTCCAAAGTCACAACAACGGACATAACAATAACAATTCGAAAGAGCTCGTAGATCTATCTAGCTACACCTCTCTTCACCTTTCGATCTCGAACGCCATGGCGTTTCGGAGATCCCTACCGTTATACGCGATCCTTCTTCTGCTTTTCATCCATGGCGGCCTCTGCTTCTACCTCCCCGGCGTCGCTCCACAAGATTTCCAGAAGGTAAGCTCCGTTTCCATTTCCTCAGTTTTTCCATTCTTTGAAATTGTTCGTTTAATTTCACCTTCATGTTCATCAACCGCTTGATCTGTGTGTTCGAATCTTAGATCTGCGATGGATGTGATCGATACTATTGTTTTTTAAATGTTGCATCGTTTTTTATTTATTTATTAAAGTGTTGAAGTTTGATTTCCGGTGATTGTTTGCATTTTCTTAGTGACGATTGGTAAACATTGCGCTATTACTCTCTGAAGATTATTGTTGCCGTGCGTTTTAATGCCTAGAAGTGTCGTTGTCGTCGTTATTTGTGTTACGTTGGCTCTGATCTACTATCAGTGAAAAGCTTTAGTTACTTTTATGATGTTAATGTGACGCATTTTGATGATTTGGTCCACTTTATCTAACGAAATGATTTGACATTTTCATGTCTGTTGATGTAGTGTAAATAGTTTAACGTTGGCGGTTGATCAAATTTGAGCTCAGTTTATAATTAGGAATAGGTTGTTTGCTGTGGAGGCATATGATGTATGAGGGTATTAGAAATGTAGACTTAGAGATGCATTGCATTACCTTCTCTACTTTTATGCACTTCCCTTCTCTTACTCTAATCAGGGAAGTAGTTTAAGTTTCGATAGAATTAGAACTTTACTGAAAAAAATAATATATGATTATGTTTATGGTAACTGTTGTGTTATTTTAATAAGTAGATTTGAACTGAATTATGTTAGTGCTGTATACTGTGTCACGAACTTGTTATGAATTATGCCCCGTTAGCTAGTTTATGGCTTCTGTGTCTTGCCAAAGACATAAAGATTGCTGAATTTTGGAAATGTAGATGTGACCTCTTTGTTCCTTGGCAGATGAGTATCTTGATTTTCCACATGCCTGAAGTCTACAACCTCTTGTAGCCCACATTGCTGTGCATGTGCTAATAATTTACTTAGTTCTTTCAATTTGTATTTCTCGTGTTAATCAGACATCTACATTTGGTAATTATGCTTGTTTGCTTGGATTCTGCTACCTCATATTCTCTAAGAACATGCTAACCAACTAAAAAATGCATGATGCATCGGGTGAACGTGATTAGTAATTTAGTATCCAATTTAGTTTTTGGCCTCTTCATTTATCCTTTTAGTTTCGTTTCCTACCCTTTTATTCCTGTATGTCCAGTCTTCTCTTTATAAATAATTGTGAATAGTCAGAATTCATATATCGATATACTTCTTGACTGACTATTCTAATATTTATATGGTGCAGGGAGATCCATTGCAAGTGAAAGTAAACAAATTAACTTCAACAAAGACCCAGCTTCCGTACTCATTTTATTCACTTCCTTATTGTCCCCCGAAAAAAATAGTGGATAGTGCTGAAAATCTTGGGGAAGTGCTTCGTGGTGATCGCATTGAAAATTCTCGTTATGTAGTAAGTTTTATATGACATGTTAACTCTTGCCTGGTTAATTGTGTTATGGATGATAATCAACTGATTTACACAATGACATATTTGCAGTTTAAAATGCGTGAACCACAAATGTGCAATGTTGTGTGTAAGCTTAAACTTGATGCCAAAACTGCAAAAGAGTTCAAAGAGAAGATTGATGATGAGTATCGGGTGAACATGTATGGCATGCCAATTATTGTCCTATATTTCCTTCCAGTTTTCTACCACAAATTTGATATCTTGTATCTTATAATACCTCTATCTTTTATGTGCAGGATCCTAGACAACCTTCCTCTGGTTGTTCCAATAAAACGTGAGGATCAGATTCAGGACTCTACTGTATATCAGCTTGGTTTCCATGTTGGACTCAAAGGGCAGTACAGTGGGGTATGCTCATTATTTTATTGGACAAGTCTATTGTTGTGAATGCAATTATTTTTTTGTGCTTACTTTGTTGAATATGCAGAGCAAAGAAGAAAAGTATTTTATTCACAACCATTTGGCATTTACTGTCAAGTATCACAGAGATTCGCTAACTGAATCTGCTAGAATTGTGGGTTTTGAGGTTAAGCCATTTAGGTCAGTAATTTTGTGATTGCTTTTTTCTATAAATTTATTCGGTCTAACAGGTCGTGGTATGTATGAATAGTGATTTTCCAAATCTGAATGTTGATGTGCAGTGTTAAACATGAATATGAAGGGAAATGGGATGAAAAGACTCGTTTGACAACCTGTGACCCTCATGCTAAACACACAGTTGTCAATTCTAACACTCCTCAAGAGGTTGAAGAGAACAAGGAAATTATCTTCACGTATGATGTTGAATTCCAGGTGAGGTTATATATCAAATGGTACATGCATGCTTCCCTTGCTACTTTTGGATGGCTATTGGCTTACACGAGCCAAATAGTTAAGTATATGATTTGAGTAGAGAAGCTGGTTCATGACTCAGCAGATAAAATTATTCTTGTATTAATGGGCTAATTTTTATTTTTATTTTTATTTATTTATGTGTTCATAACTTTTTTTCCCCTTCCATCCAAGTGGAGTCCTCTTCTTTCCCTTCCTTTCCTCCTCTTCCTCCAATTGTTATTATTATTATTTTGGTGAAAGATGATTGTCGAGTCTATTTCTTATGACCTGCTTTTACCTTTGGTTACATTCAGGAGAGTGATGTGAAGTGGGCTTCAAGATGGGATGCCTATTTGCTGATGAGTGATGACCAAATCCACTGGTTCTCAATTGTGAACTCATTGATGATTGTTCTCTTTCTCTCGGGTATGGTGGCAATGATAATGCTGCGTACACTTTACCGTGATATTTCAAAGTACAATGAACTTGAGACCCAAGAAGAAGCTCAAGAAGAGACTGGTTGGAAGCTTGTCCATGGTGATGTTTTTAGGCCGCCAAACAACTCAGATTTGCTGTGTGTATATGTTGGAACTGGCGTTCAGTTTTTTGGGATGATACTAGTAACAATGCTCTTTGCCATCCTGGGGTTCCTTTCTCCTTCAAACCGAGGTGGGCTAATGACAGCCATGCTCTTGCTTTGGGTTTTCATGGGGCTTTTTGCTGGTTATGCCTCTGCCCGCTTATACAAAATGTTTAAAGGATCAGAGTGGAAGAAAATTGCCCTCAGGACTGCAATTGTGTTCCCTGCAATTGTCTCTGCCATTTTCTTTGTATTAAATGCTCTCATATGGGGACAAAAATCATCGGGAGCTGTGCCGTTTGGAACAATGTTTGCTCTGATCTTTTTATGGTTTGGTATTTCGGTTCCACTTGTTTTTGTGGGTGGCTATGTTGGATTCAAGAAGCCTGCTATTGAGAATCCTGTGAAGACAAACAAAATCCCTAGGCAGATACCTGAGCAGGCGTGGTACATGAACCCAGTCTTCTCAGTTCTAATTGGGGGAATACTCCCATTTGGAGCTGTCTTCATTGAGCTTTTCTTCATCCTCACCTCAATTTGGTTGAATCAGTTTTACTACATCTTCGGCTTCCTCTTTTTGGTCTTCGTCATCCTCCTTGTCACTTGTGCTGAAATAACTATTGTGCTTTGTTACTTCCAGTTGTGCAGTGAGGATTACTTGTGGTGGTGGCGGTCGTACCTCACATCCGGTTCTTCTGCACTGTACCTCTTTCTTTATGCAACATTCTACTTCTTCACCAAGCTTGAAATCACGAAGTTCGTATCTGGGATATTATACTTCGGTTACATGCTTATAGCTTCTTATGCCTTTTTTGTTGTAACCGGGACCATCGGATTTTACGCGTGCTTTTGGTTCACAAGGCTCATCTACTCGTCAGTCAAAATTGATTAGTTTATAGTAGTCAGTGGTTTCGGTTAATCTCTATACTTCTCAAAGGATTCAGAAAGTTTGTGTAAGGATTTTCAAATTCAGGTTCTATCATGTTCAGAATCAGATGTAACCTATTCTATACAATTTTGAATTGTGACGACACCGTTATTCTTTTGTTTCAATATCTTTTACTTCTTTCGAGTTATCGAAGTAGGATCCTTGTAGATTTTAAAGTACCCTGCAGTCTAATTTGGCTGTTTTCTGTGTTACTCTCGGATAATTACAGTTTTTGTTGTTGATAGTGTAATAACAATGATATCTCATCAACGTGTGATGTCAGTTCGCACTCATGAGCATCAATACCTCTTGAACCCTACTGTTATCTTAATACTATTGAGGACCCGTACCTGTTTTTCTAACTCTTCTATATTCTTCTACGGGGTCCATATATGATGACTTGGTAATTTTCTCATTTGATTATTATTGCAAGGTCACGCCGAAATCTGTAACTGTATATGATTGTTAGAATGGCAGCAGTTTTTAATGGGCGATTCTTTATTGTCTTTCCTGCTTTAAGAACTTGTTTATGTATTAATAAAAAATTTCCGAAGCGGTAGATATATTTGGTCATTACTTCCATTCTTTTTTTAGTTTTTGTACGAGACATGGTCTAACGATAGTGCCTGCCTAATTGCCTATATAACTCGAAGATCAAGAGTGGGCGACCCACAAGACAGGTCACTACAAGTTACGTTGGATTCACCGAAAAAAAGTTCAACATCGGCACGAAGGATATCAAAAGAAATGCGTGGTTTTTCTGATGGTTCCAGCTATGCCTTAATTGAACATTGTCTTTTAAACACGTTCAAATATTCATAAATTAATTCTTCAGATGATAAAAATATATTATCTTCGGAACGGAGAAAGGGAATATTAAATAAAAGATGCACCAAATTAACATTTTCTTTGTGAAATTTAAAAAAAAGGTTACTTTTAATTCAACGTAATATTTTTTTTAGGTGTTTAGCATTCATGCTTTAAAGGCCTTATAGGTTATAGCCAAACAGGTGTTCTTAGAAACATATGACAAGTTAACATATTTCATATTAACACAGGCATATGAAAAACAAGGCATTGGTTCATTTTTTTGTTATGGTGAGAAATTCCATGACTAGCTGAAATCCCCTTAAACATAAAAAGAAAGATAAAATGAACACTACAAAACTGATGGTTATTTCCTAGGGTGAGTCTCCTCAGGTTGTGCAACTCCAACGGCAACCTTTGCAACATCCTTAGCACTAGCCTCGGGCTTCTTCTTGGCGTATAAGACCATGTATCCCACAGCAGCTGTAATAAGCAAACCAGCTACGGTCATTGTGGCGAAGCTGAAAGGAAGTGATTTCCTTTGATGAAGAACTTCACCAGGGCCATGACCTGGTGGTCTCTTTGACCCTTCAACTCCTGCTGCTTTTATTTGTTCTTCACTCATTTTGTGTGTGTCTGCCATTTTTCTCCACTCTTCATCTCCACCCATGTCCCTCTCTCTCTCTCTTTTTTGTGGAGTTTGGAGTTACTTAATCACCATTTTGCTTCAAAACAAGAGAAAAGGATGAAAACATTGTTAGCCACGTCTCATCCCAACTTGGCTGTTTTCTCAACACGTAGTTGCTACGCGTCATTGAAGTGGGGTACGTGTAATGCAAGAAATTAAGAACACGATCTAGTTGCCGCACATATCATGCTAGTATATTGTTTTGTTGGTGGATACATTACATATCATGCTAGCACGGGAATGAGTTTAATTTTAAATCAATTGTGAGTGAGTTCATTTTGATACTTATACGAGAGATTATAAAATTTCTTTGATCTTATAAACTAATTTTCTTTACTGCTGATTTTTAAAAACAATTCATTGTCAATGCAGATGGATTTACTCTAAATCTTATCATTTAGTTATTTATTTTCTTTAGCAGATACTATAATTAACAGTTTTTATTAAAACTTGTAATTTGTGACATGCTCTTGATAGTATATTAGTATAATTACAACAGCAGATGTCATATATGATTAATTTTGTGATACTTTTGAGTGACAAAATATAAACGATAAAAATCATATATTAATACTGTTTAATTACCACCGATATGTCATTCTTAGGGTCTGCATGACAACCATTCTATTTCCTGACACTATTTCTGAAAAGAAATAATTTTTTTCTATTTCTATGCCTTGGAACAGTTTCTGAGAAAAAATATGTTTGATAACATGTTCTATTTTTATTATGAGAATGAGAATTGTGTTTGATAACACAACAAATAATATAATAAAAAATAATTCCTATTAAATATAAAAAAATTTCAGATCATCACTTTCCTTTCCATACGATGTGGTTGTGGTGGTGGTGGCGGCGGCGGCGGTACGGTAATAGTGGTGGCAGTGACGTGGTGGTGGTTGTGGCGGCAGTGGCTGCGACGATGTCGGTGGTAATGGTGGCGGCGGCGGCAGCGGTAGTGGTGGTGGAGGTGACAGCAGTGGCTGCGACAATGGTGGTGGGTATGGTGGTTGGTGGCAGCAACAATGGTAGCAGTGGCATGGTGGTGGTGGTTGTGAAGGCATCATAGTGGTGGTTGTGGTGGTAGTGGTGGCGATGACGTGGTGATGGTAGTGACGGGGGTGGTGTAATGGTGGCGATGGCGATGGCGGTGACGGTAATGGCTGTAACGATGATGGTGGTGGTTGGTGGCGGCGGCGGCGACGGCGGTGGTGGTGACGATAATGATAGTGGTGGCGTCGTGGTGACGATGAGGGTGGTGGCAGTGGCGTGTGATGGTGATGGTGGCATGACGACAGTGGTTGCAATGATGGTGGTGGTGGTGGTTAATGACGGTAGTGGTAATGGTGGTGGTGACAGTGACGGTGACGGTGACAGTGATAGTGGTGGTGGCAGCGGTGGTAGTTGTGGAGGTGGTGACGGCGACATGGTGGTAGTGATGGGTGGAGGTGGTGGTAATGGTGGCGGTGACATCGTGGTGGTGAGGGGTGGTGACGACGGCACTAGTGGTACGATGACGGTGGCAGTCATGTCGGGATGATGGTGGTGAGGTGATGATGGTAGAGGTGGAGAGTGATTCAGAGAGATAAGTGTTTCTCATTTTGTGTCCGGAAACAAAAAAACAGAAATTTTCTGATTCTTTTTTCTTTTCCCCAGCACAAAAATTAAACCGGTTCATCCTGAGAACAAAAAAATAAACCGATTTTACCAAACAAGTTTCCTATCCATTTCTGTTCCCGGGAACATAAATTAAAAAAATAATAATTCCGAGAAGGTTGTCATGCACACCCTTAACTTACCATATACAATATACATCCTTCACAACTAACCCCTTAAATCTTTCTCCTATTATTATATAGAAAAAGGTTGTGTCATTTTAAATGACACACTTTACATTCTTTCACTTTCACAAAGAGTTGTAATTCACATTTAAAAAAAAAAATTTCCTTACTCTCTCTTTCATAATTTATCTATTTCTCTCACTTAAAATGACACAACTTTATATCTTTTAAAATAATACACATTGTTATAAAAAAAAATAAAAAATAATACACATTTTCTCCTTATTATATACCTAGATCCATTATAGTAATAAAATATGTTTTCCTTCATGTATTTCCTTTTCGACAACATATTTAAACAAAAATATTATTTGAATATTGAAGCTAACTATAAAAAATTAACAAGACAAATAATAATAATTAAAAAATAAATAATCTAACAAGGAATTTATTTTAAATTTGCAGGAAAAATATTAAATTCAAAATTTTGGGAAATAGATCCTCTAGTGTCTTATTTAACATCACATGGTCAGGTGACCGAATCATAATCATATAAAAGTAAATAAATAATAATAAGGGAAGAGAGAGAAAAATTATTGAAATAAATAATTACATAATGATCACCGATAATTTATCTTTGTATAATTTTGATTTACGCACACGATTATATCATGTTAAATAAAACATGAGAGGATGCATTTTTCATAATTTTAAAGTTATATTATGTAAGTAATTTTAAAAGGAATTTACACTACTTAAGTAAAAAAAAAAACCCTGCAAATTGTCTAAGAAAAATAAACTTGCAAATTCAAACCATTTGGAGAACAGAATGCAGCGTTTCTATTTTTTTTTATTTTTTTTTTTGACCGTTACTATTTCATGGCCAAACAAGTAATAACAGGACAAAAGTCTGTGGCCCCACACCATGGTGTCACTGTGCAGTCTTCACTACCTTTCCCAAGGACTATTAACGGCTAGTTCCCATCATCACCACCATAAATACATCAAACACTCCAAATTCCATTGCAAAACCAGCTTCCCTCTCTATATCTCATTTTTGATATTCAAAGGCAAAAATCTCATACATAAGAAACAATGGCTGGTTCTTCAACAACTCCCTCAGCTTCTCTTTTGCTCCTATTGATCCTTCTCTTTTGCTTCTCAGCAGCAGCTAAGGAAATCTTGGTTGGAGGCAACATAGATGCATGGAAGATTCCATCTTCTGAATCAGACTCACTAAATCAATGGGCAGAAAGGTCTAGGTTCCAAGTTGGAGACCATCTTGGTAACTTCTATTTCCAAAAATCTAATTTTTTCTTTTTTTAATCAAGATCCCTTTTTTTTAATTTAATATCTTCATTAATCATTGACACATACTTCATTTTTTGTCCATAGTTTGGAAATATGATGGTGGGAAAGATTCAGTTTTGCAAGTAAGCAAGGAGGATTATCCTAATTGCAACATCACAAACCCAATTAAAGAGTACAGTGATGGGAACACTAAGGTGAAGCTTGACCATCCTGGACCATTCTATTTCATCAGTGGAGAAAAGGGTCACTGTGAGAAGGGTCAGAAGCTAATTGTGGTGGTTTTGACTCCAAGGGGAAGCAGCAGGTACATTGGGATTTCACCTGCACCTTCTTCTGCAGAGTTGGAAGAAGGTCCAGCTATTGCTCCTACTAGCAGTGCCACAGCTTTGCACAGTGCCCTTGTGATGTCTCTTGGAGTATTATTTGCTATGTGGAGTTTCTGATGTGAATTGCCTCATTTTCATTGGATATTCAATCTATTAGTATATTGTTAAGAGACTGTCACAGTGAGGGGATTGTCAGGATTGTTATTTTTGTAGGGATTATATGAATTCATTTTTTTAATGTAGATTATATTGCCCTGGCCTTCTATTGTTTATCAAACAAAGATAAAATAAAATACAAAGATGTTCCTTTCTCTTATTCATTATAAACAAAAATTAGAAATTGTGAAATGAAATTAAAATAATGTGTTAATATCATTCTTCAATTAATTTTAGGGTTCGTTTTTTCTAAATTTACATTACATAACTTTGTCTAATGTTTATCAAAACGATGCCATTTTGATACGGAAATTATTATGTATTTGTAATTTTAATTTATTTCAGGGTTATAATAGTCTATATTATTCTAATTTTTTAATCTCAAAAAAACTTGTTTAGGTGAACATTAGGTAAAATTATCTAAAGTAATTACCCTAAAAGATCCAAGAAGAAAGAATGGCATGTTGTCAAACCAAAAAGTCATGAATCTGGACCATAATCACCTGGACTACTAAAAAATAGATATTTTACAGACTCATTTTTTATTTCTTCTATTTTACGCTTATTTAATTTCAATAAAAAATAAAAGGAGTGATAATCGAATTGGTCACCCGACTATGTGAAACAATCATTTCACTTAACAACTTAAATTTATGAGTGAAGACCTCAATGATTTTTATATTATAACTTACTCACATCAACCTTAATGTAATTCAAATCCAAATCATCCTTTACTGCCTGACCGTTGTTTTCCCTTCTTCAATAAAGTAGCTATTAGGCATGTGCATGATGGTTTGATTCGGACAAACCAAATCAGTTTTAAAAACGATTAGTCGTGTGCACGGTTTGGTTCGGACGGACAAACCAAATCAGTTTTAAAAATGAACAGGTTTGAAAAAAATAAGTCGACTGTTTGGTTTTGTTTGTGGTTTGATTCGATTCACTTTGAGCAATTTTGGTTCACACTTTGTTGCACAATGATCAGTGCTTTTAGTTACAAATAGCACCGTGCAATGAATGCCAAAGTGACCAGTTCTATACAACATTGCTTGAATAATGAACCAAACTTGCAAATAGCACTGTGCAATTCTGCTTCAGCCTCTTAAGCTATTCATTACAGCTTTTTCCTCCTCTTTTTTTAAAATAGACCATTTGATGTTCAATGATAAGCAAATATTGTGACAAAGAAGTAAACAATAATGCAGGAGAAGAGGGAAATTTTTTTTGTTTATACACTTAAGAAAAAACTATGTAAATTATATCAACGCATAAAAGCAGTTCTGTGAAATGAAACCACTTGGTTACAATGATCAATGATTCCTCTAGTCTTACTTTCTTTCCAACGATCACATATTCATTAACATATCCATATATACAAATACAAATACAAATACAAATACAAACACTTCAAAATAAGAACAATAAAGTTCTTTAGAGGAGGCGTCACCAAGAATTGATAAGAAAGTCGTCCAAAAGCGGAGAAAAAGCAACAAGGATCCTGTGATATTCCCTCCCATGAACACAGGTCCATTTAGTTCACATATACTGCAAAAATAAAATTCTGAAGTAAAAATCTAAGGCAGAATAAAAGGATAAATAATAAAACCTAAATTTTCCAGACACCCTGCAAAATATGATAAGCCAAACATTTATATGTTGTATAAAGTATAAAATAAGTAACGGCTAGACTTATCTGTTGCTGTTGCAGGCTAGGGCTGTAATCTCAGGCCCTGAAACTGGAAATGGATCTTCTCATGTTTAAAAAAAACATGATATAATTATGTGGGACAATCATGACAATACAAAGATAAATCAACGATTATGATTGAGTAGCTACCTATTTTAATATTTTTTTTTTCTCCTCTTTTATCACCATTGATCTACCTTTATATGGTTATGATTGCCCACATGACCATATCATGTCTTTTTCAATATGAGAGGATCCACTCCCATGTACATTATTATATTGGATTACTAATAGTATTTAAACTATTCAACTAGAATAACTACACTTTTGAAGAGTGATCCTGAATCCAAAGTCTGAATATAAAATTGTAAAGAGATTAATTCATGAGTTGGTTGGGTTGATCTCTTCATTACAAATTGGCATTTTCCCCCTCAAAAACTAAAAAAGCCTTAAACTTTGGAGAAGGCTTCATGCCAGGCCCCAGGATTCAGTATTCTACCAGGACAAAAAACACGCATAAAATTCAGTCACATGTCAAGGCTGGGCTGAAGCGTTTCTTCCTATTTCAAGTTCAATATCTAGCGTTAGTCTATCCAGTGAAAATCTCTTAAAGTAAATCATGCTTATGTACTGTAAAGTGGATCAAAGTCTCAAAACACAATCAAGAGTATCATAAGCAGCCTGCTTCTTCCTAAAATAAACTTCAATCATGAGGATGCATTAAGAAAACAAAATCTAGGGCAATCAGTCATGATGAATCATGGCCAATCAGGTTACGTGATATAATGATTGTTTTCAAAGGCTAAAGACGCAGCCCAGTAACAACATTAAATTAAGATAATAATCAAGTGAACAGAAATCATTTCAAGGAATTAAAAGTTTTAAAAGAAAAAAAAAAAACCTCATATTTGAAATTATCACACAACAGCTTAATACAATAAACCCTAGGTGACTATTTATAGTATGGTTTTTCTATAGCATTGATCACAAACTAATTAACAGCATATCACTGATCCCATCTTGTGATGACTACGTAAAATTAGGGAACACACTAAGATAAAAGTAGAAGATTAGAAAATAAATAAGATAAGATATGTCACAGTTGCATGAACAGCATTTGCACTATTATATGGCACAAATGATGTTCACACTTCAGTAGCATGTATAACTGTCTCTTGTGCCACACGTTTTTTTTTTGTGTGTTGGTGCACTGAGAGTTGTTACAACTTGAACCTACTACAACCTCTACCCAAACTCCTAGCTGCCCCAACCACCGGAGCCAAGCCTAAGTTGCACTACCACACTCAGTTCAGTTCATTAGTATTATGGCGATAGTATTAGTGCCAGACTGGTCTTGAATTGTCTTAAACCACAAACTTTATCATTTCACAGCCCAGAATCATATATTCTTGAGTTTTGACTCAGATTCTTCAATTTGAACAGAATTATGAGTACACAAGGAAAACATACTGGCATCAAATGAAATAACCACATGTAACATCACTTACCAATAACCAGCTTGTTCCATGCATTTTTTATAATTTTATTCTACCATCACAATGGCATTGGGAGAACACACTCACTTATTCAAGTTTTTTCCAAAGGCTCATCTACTTTGGGTGTGCATCCCATTATTACAATGAAGATTTATTGATATTCCCACACTATTATCATCAAAGAAAGGCTTAGAGGATTGGATGAATTCCTAAAGTCTTGTCTCAGTAATAAATTCATATATTTTCTTCAGAAGCATAAACAAACTAACCATACTTGGTCTTTCACATAATCAACTCCAACAGGAAGTAGGGTGAATTTAAATGCGACAAATTTACCCAGTTTACTTCAAAACCAGCTAAGGACAGGGGCTCTTAATATAAAATACCAGGAACCATCAACCCTTCAGTTACATTAATTATGTTAAGTTGCAAACTTAATCATACAGCACCAAATATTAAAAACCACTCTCAATTAAATCCCAACTAGTGAGGTAGGGATAAGGGCAACCTTGTACACAACCTTACCCTTACATATTTGCAAAGAGGCTGTTTTCCTATTTTGAAGCTCTGACCTTTCAATCACAAAGGAACAACTTTACCATTACTTCAAGCTTGCCCTCTTATACAGCTCCAAATATAATGAAAAAAATTGTAGTTGCAATCATTATGAAAACTATTTTCTCAAAGATGGAACTTTGTCTCTACCTCCACTTTCAAATTTCACACAATCTCTGACTTTAACTCCACTGCTCTACATTAAAAGTATAAGATTACGAAATTAATAATTGTCAAGATTTTATGCTTGTTGGAAAGTATCTTCCTAAAATCTCACACAAACTCTGTTGCGATGCGGCACGGCCGATCGTGGCCAACCTCCGCAATCCACTACTGTAGCGGAATAGCGCGCAATTGTGCTGCATTTAATAACCCTGATCTTCTACTTAGGGAAGTACTTCCATGTCTCCTATTTAGGGACTGCATATACACTATATAATTAGGATTTGATTTGTTTTATTTTTATTAAATTCCTAGTTTCCTTATCTTAGTTTCTAAATATTAGAGATTGTAAATTCCTAGTTTCCTATTATTTGAGATTGAAAATCATGCAAAAATAGAAAATGCTGCTGATGATTTCCTGAAGCAATTCAGAAATCCCTCTTCTACATGGTATCAAGGAAACACTGTCCACCCAGAAAAGCCCTACACTGTCCCTGTCCTTCTTCCAGCCATCACCTAGGTTGGCACCCAGATGACCATAAAGCTCCATATCCACCCAGAAAGCTTCGACCTGCCGCCACTCCGAGCATTGATCTGGAGCATCTTCTGTCTGCGCATGTAGCCCACGTGCCATCTTCTCAACAACGCATGACATCTTTTGTCTGCAAGTGAATCTCACTCTCCTCTTCTGGCACGTGCAGACCACGTGCCACCTTCCCTTCATCTATTCTTTACTCCACCAGTCTCGCCTTGCTTGCCAGCAGCCCTTCCTCATGTCTTGGTGGTTAGCAGCACGGACCTGGTAATGGGCTCATGTTTGCACTCTCCATAACTTCACTCATTTAATGAGGAATTAAATGAGTGAAGTCGTTAATAGTTATTAATCATCCATAAGTTTCATAACGGGGTCTTTGTTTTGTTCTCTTCAGACTTCATATAGGTGCTTTGTCAACGAGATGAGTGGTAGCGCAGGTATTTTTATTCATATACGGTTTTGCATCAACAATTTGACCCACTTCAATAATAATGCTACTACGCTGCAAACATATAACCAAAATGTCCAGCTCACAGCTCATATGTCACTTAATTTCTATTTTCCTTTAACATTAATTATAGTATACATTTCCTATCATATTAGAAAGGGACACAAAAGATTCCAAACCGCTATCCTGCAACATTGCCACATTGGAGCTGTCATGGAAAGAAAAGGCAAAAGTAACCTTCCTTTTGCATTTTACATTTTCCAGCCTAAACTTTCTATGTTGAGTGAACTGTTGGAAACTTTCTTAATTACTATTATTTGACAAATGATAGGTGCCACTTTAATTATATAAATTGTCAGTTCAGGCCCACCCATGTTCCTACAATGTTAGTTGAGTTTGTATTCTGTAATAAACTCCAGATAATCATATTTGAACCATAGAGCATAACTCTAGTGAAAATAGTACACGTGTTGAGTCTGCGACTCTACATAAAATTCAAACATGGTTTATGTGTATTACAAGTTATCTTATGTCTCTCTGAACTGCTACATTTCAAAATTGACATTACCAATTATTTTCTTCCAAAAACTTATTGATCCCCTAACATGTGCATTGGTTCAGGATTCATTATTCTACTGGGAAAGAGAGAAAATGATTAACACCCCAAATTATAGATCATAATGCAGTTACTCTACCAATACATAAAATTTGGGAAATGTCGAATTCATAAAGTAAATGAGGACATCAATGGAAACTCTACCAGAATTCGGGGAAAATTAGGTCGCCGTTAACTCATTCATCATCATCATCTGAAATGTCAATTACCATTGGCCCCTTTAAACTTCCATCATTATTACCAAGAAGCTCCCCAGTTGTTTTCTCCAGGAATTCCTCGGGTTCAGTTTTAACAGATTGTTCTTCAGAAGATGGGTACTTCCTCTTTTGACCAGCACACTCCTGATAGTTCAACTTTAGTTCCTCCTCTCTACTTATGTTCCTCACATCTTGCTTCTGTGCTGCATGAAATAACCATTTTTTTTTTTTTACTGATATGAGATTCAGAATGAAAGACACATATATGACCCCTGAAAGAAATAATTCATTACCCACCTGAACTGAGTCTGAGGCCATGTAAGGTGTGTTCAATAAAACGGGTACTCAAAATCCAAATCATTCAATCAAATTCTAAAAATCAGGTAATTGAAAAAGAGAAAAGAACCTAGCTAATGCAAACTTAAACTCTTAAAACACCCCAAAAGAAAGACTTAGAATAATGCAGCATGGTTCATTCTCAACATGAAAATTCAACAAACCGAACTTATGAACAACATGGTTCAGCGAAAAGAAGAAACATGTAAGTAAGTACCTTCAATCAAAATCTGCAGGCGATCCAGTTTCTTTTGGTACTCGCTTAACTTGTCCTGGGGTATAAAAATTCAATAACTTTAAGCAACATGCATCACCAAAGGTTGAAACTTGAACGAGAAACATGTAATGCAACAGGATTTAAAGCATGCCCAAAAGAACCATTATTAGAAGGAAGAAACTCACAAGCTCCGATTTGACAGGATGGTCATTTGGGTTAATCCCTCTGCACCTCAACTTCACTGAAGACCAAAAAAAAAAAAGGAATTTATGTGGAATAATTAGATAGTTCTCATAAAGTTGAAATTTTTTGAAGGAAGAATGGTAAAGGGGTGCATTTATATACACACATGAGAAGAGGGTGGAAGTGAGTTTGGCGAGGGAGAGGAGGGAGTGTGCACGTTCAAGATATGGCATTTGAGAGAGAAATTGAGGGTCAGAGAGAGACAAGAATTGGGGCAAATGGGTCTCAAGTTGTTCAACGCTGCTCAAAGTACGGTTCACTGCATCCATCATCTCTTCAGGTACTTCAACACCCTCCATTTCGCTTGCTTTCACCATTTTCTCTCTCTCTGCGACACTGGATTGAAGTATTGAACAACACCACCGTTTGCTCACGTTAAGGTTGACGTTTATTATATAGGAGGGGATTAAAGGTTTTTTCTTAAAAAAAATATAAGGAAATTATGTATTATTAATTTTAAAAAATAAATTTAAAAAATTAGAAAAAAACATCTATCAGAGTGTCACTTTTCAAAATAAAAATATGCTGAAAAAATATGGTCATTTTTCAATTTTAATATGATATTTTTCACAATTAGTTAAGAGTTTTTTTTTTTTTTTTTTAACTTAACCATTTAAGTAATGGAGATGATTCTCTCCCGTTACTTTGTTACCGGAGAGAAATCATCTCCTATTGTTTTATATAATTTTTTTTTTAGTAATTAAAATAAGGGTTTTATTAATCTCTTTTCACATAAGATAATTATCTTATGTGGTAGAGAGAAAATGGGTGAGTCCCACCATTACAAGAAAAAAAAAAAAAGTAAGGTGCGAAAATCGAAGTGAGAGTAAATGAGATAAGTTAAAAGGAGAGTAATATTTCCATTAAAATAAAAGAACCCACCTAAAAGTGTTTCAATCACATAAGAGACGAAACTCTTACCAACGTAAGAAAAGTTTTCGCCTTTAAGTAATGGTAGATTAAAATTAAACTTTAATGTCCATTCCTGACGCTAAAGCTAAGAGGTATGTAATAAAAACGCGTAGTTTCAAATTTCACAATGGGCTGCAATCTTTTTCTCTTTTCTTTTTTCTTTTTATTGTACAAGGCTCCTTTACAAACTTGAGGGAGGATATTCTTATTACCAAAATTTTCTACTATTAACTTACTACCTATCTAATCACCATTGAATCAAATGCTACAAAATTTTTGAAAAAAGAAAAAATATTGATCCAATAGTGATTAAATAAGTAGTAAATTGGTAGTAAAAAATTTTAGTAGTAAAAATATATCTTCTCTGTAAACTTTTATCAAAATATAGCTTGATTGACCATTTTACTGACAATTTTTAAAACATTTATGATTTTGTCCCTATTTCAAAACTATATATTAATTTAGTCATTTTTAAATTATATATCAATCTATTCCTATTTGGTTTGGTTAGTTGTTAATTATTACTTACTTGAGTAACTATTTCATCGACTAGAATAACTCATTTATTCAAGTAAACCAATATGAGTTACTGAGTAAACCAGTGAACTCCCAAAACTAAATTTACAAAACGATTTTTTTTATTATCCAAATCACTTTGTATTGACATAAAATTGTATATTTGTACTTGTTATGAATCTTTGTGGGTCTAAACCACTTGAGGGGACTCCCCATCCAATTCAAGGTAAGGTACGTAATCATGGTTTCGTGTTGATTTCAATATGTTAATTTGAAATCTTGGTTTGTTATTGATGCAAACATGATTCTATTGACATGTAATGGAGGTTTAGGAGTGTCCCAGCTCGTAAACCTCCATTTTAAGTTTAATTTCATAATATTATGCAAAAATTAGAAAAAGATAATTCATTTAGCATTAAAACACATAACATAATCAATAGTAAAAGATAAGTACATAAATAGTAGCACAAACCATACAATGTTTAAATCAAAATACATCAAATGAAACAATAATACAAACTTAAAACAACCTAAATTACCTTGAATGTGTCTCATTATCACCATCATCATCATTGTCCTCATTTTCGTCATCCTTAGCTAAAACTTACTATTCCATGATCCCTAAAACTTGTATGTATGAAACCTCTAAGTGGTCTACTCAATATTCAAGTCTAGTTATACGAGTCTCTGTACGAGTCCACATTGCATTTTGTTTGCATGTCCACCCTTCAATCTCTCATGTAAGGCTATGCATGGAGGTCGTGACATTATGAAGGATATGTCCCCCTCAACAACAGGAGCATTGGATCCATATTTGGCATAAGGATCTGCTCATGAGCACCATCATCGTCATCATTTCTACTATCATCAGCCTCCTCTATATGCGCATCCCCTTTTCCCCTCAACTGGATTTCAAGCTCCATGTCTTTTATTGCCACATATTCCTAACCTTGGTGATCTTATACTACTCTAAGAGACGCTTCTCAAACTTAGAGTTCTAGTCTTTTACAGTCTTGAAATTCTCATTATCTATGGTACCTCAAAGCACTTTGGGATCCTCTGAACAATAAAGGCAAATGGAAGCGCGACCTTCCTAACAACACACTACATAATGCAACAGATATAATGCATACAATTGACTTACACTCAATGTCGGATGACGCACATAACAACCAGGTCACTCTCTAGCACCTTCTCGTGATTATGAGGTTGAAGGAAAATAATATGATTCATGATATAAAATAATATACACTCATCGTTGGCAACCCAACTCCAAACTTATGTATTGTGCCTCCCTCACATCACGCCTTTTCACCTTAGGCACAATATCAACACACTTATAACCATCATTTATAGCATGACGCTCTCCGTCATAAGGCACAACATAAAAATCATATCCCAGCAACTCAGTTAACATCTTGAAAATCATTGTTATGTTAATGCCGCATACGATGGATGTAAGGTCCCCATCAAAGTAGTGACAATTCTAGTTGAAGACCTTTACCATGATCTTTGAATATGGGCACGACATCTTTGCAATCACTCTCAAGTGTGCGCGATCAAAAACATGAACAATGTTGAACCCCTCTGTTAAGAAAAATTTTGTATCCAAAGACTTCGGCTCTACTATACTTCGTGGAAAATATTCTAATACGAAACAAGCATTCTTGATCTGAGCATTTTCAAACAAATATCCATATGGCATATCGACCAGGTCAGGATCAACCGACCTAGACGAGAAGGACCCATAGTTGTGATTCTTCAATTAATCAAATAAACAATTGAATGATTAACAATGCATAATTAAATGATTAACTGAATAAACAAATTAAAATTAAAACAATAATTTTCACTACAAAGAAAAATTATATTAGGTGGAATCAGGATATCACATCCTTCCCACTTTAATACACCTCTTTGAAGTAGGTTGCTTAGAAAGTCATCTATTTGCCATTAGGAACCATCCAATAACAACAAAAAGTTGCAAAAACAAATAAGATTGAGTCAAAAAAATAATATCAAACAAATATTTTTTTTTTAAGTTTTTTGTTTTTTCCCCCTAATGAATCACTTTTTAGTTTTTAAGATTACAAGAAACTCTTAAACTCCAATAAGTTCTAACATTAATGAATCATTCGTCTAACTAGTAAAAAAAATACCGCATTGTTATCAAAAAAAAAAAAAAAAAAAAAAATACCGCATTTGGAGATTTCTAAAATTTTGATAAATTGGACATACCTTGCTTATTCAATAAATTTTTTGGTTTGTGCATTAATTATATATGATCTAATTCATCCAATCAATTAAACATTGGACTTAAACATAGATGGATTGGATAGATGATGAGTCATCGACTAATGGATTTATTTACTAGTCCTAAGTATGAGAAAGTTACCTAGTATTAGTACACTTATGCGCATGAAAGAGAGTTGTAGTGTCATTTTGTAAGTGAATGTTGTTTGTCTTCGATGGTGAATAACGAATTTTTTTTTCAAATTTAATTTTATATGGCCAGGAAATGATGTGTATTTATGAATGATGGGAAGTAGAAAAGACTCAATCTCGCATATAGAATCTTCACACGTTTCAAATGAACTCATATGTTCCCATATTCCCCTCTGCTACATCCCTATCTAAATTCTAGATTAAAACTTGTCTTTTAAACTAGAGAATCTAGTAGCTTATTCTCACATTACTGAAGATGCTAAGGCAATGATAACCATTACCGTCCCACCATTACTTAGTTCATGTAACATCTACTGCAATTAAAAAACTTATCCGATCACTGACATAAAAAAGACCCCTTTTTCAAATGTCTAGAAATTCCTTAAACTCGTAAAAATATGGCCAGCAAAAGGCAACACCGCAATTCAAATTGGACTAGTTCGTTTAGTACTCTACGTTCATGAGGAAAAAAAGAGTTACTGCCAGGCTTTGCTTTGATGGACACCTGATATTTGAACTATCAACACGGGGTGATAGGAATTATCCTCACACCAATACTTGCTAGGTCGAAAATACCAACAAAGTGCAGTTCAATGCACAGTGGCAAAGTAGCAATTACTGAGTCAACAATAAGAAATATAGCATGTATGAAGTGCTCAATATCAGCTCCAAGACTGCTAATTCAAATATTTTATCTTCAGATTCTACGGAAAGAAACATTTCGCAACAAATATAAAAAAAAAAAAAAAAAAACTCAATATCTGGGCTACTATTTGGATATAATATTATCATGGTGCGAGCCTAAGTGGGTCACGTGGAAAAAGTGATGTTTTGCGAATATTATTCAGACCACAAAAGAGCATTCCTACACGCTCCAATCCTGCACCAAAACCACCATGTGGGGGTGCACCATATCTGAAAATGATGAAGTACGTAAGAATGAGATGTATTTGAGAAGTAGGAGAGAAGGCCAAATACAGAGACATAAGTATGAAACACTGAGCACAGGAAGAGAAAGAGGGGATAAATAATACCTGAAAGCATCAATATATGTAGATATTGTTCTGACATCAATGCCACAAGCCTCTGCACGTTGTTCCAATAATACTGGATCATGGATTCGCTGAGCTCCTGAAATTATCTCCTCACCTAAGGGACAGAGAAAACAGAGAGGTTCCAATCAAATAACAATAAAAGACACAAGCTTCTATGAAATAGATACATATGGGACAAAGAAAACAGAGAGGTTCAAATCAATTAACAATAAAAGACACAAGCTTCTATGAAATAGATACATATGCTAGAACAAGAATGACAGTTGAACCAGACACAATGAGTTAAGCGCACCAGATTGTCATACCAAAGCATTTTGTATGACAAATCAAATTATTGCTTACCTCGAATAAAGACATCAAACGAGTTACTGTATGTTGAATTGTCCCAGCATGGCATTGTATAAAATGGCCTTACAGCCAAAGGGTACCGATGAAGGATAAAAAACTCCGTGCCATACCTATAAAAAGAATAACAAACCAAAAATTTGTTTGAATAATAGCTCATAACAGCAAAAACAAAATATTTAGTAGTGAAAAATTGAGAAAAATAATTACTTCTCCAAAACTAGCTGGCCTAGTCTCCTTTCAGCTTCAGTATTCAAGTCACCAAAAGGTTCAATTTCTATTCCGGCATCCTGCAAATAGAAATTGTTAATAGCTGCAAGACATTTATATTGTGCATTCCTTCTATCCTGTAGTTATAATAAGTTTTAAGTCCTTTCTGAGCCTTGAGTTAATAGCTGCAAGACATTTATATTGTGCATTCCTTCTATCCTGTAGTTATAATAAGTTTTAAGTCCTTTCTGAGCCTTGAGTTCAATGATTCAATAGAGTAGTGAACTCCCACAACCATCTATAAGATAAAAATTAAACAGGAAGCCTTTACAGCATCAGTTCTCACACCCCTTAGAGCAGAACATTTGGAACCTAAAAGAGGTTATAATTGGCTCACTAATCGCATGATTATCTGAAGAAGCACTCTTAATAGAGTCAACCAATCAACAATGAACAAACAATATACTACTGTCATCCATTCTTGGACTCCAAACTGCCCATTTTTCATTGACAAGCACACGAGACTATGATATGGATTGATAATACGGTGTTGCCACAATTTTAATGACTAAACAAAGCTATCAGACTCTTCCTAGAGTCAATGAATCAACAATAAACAGACTATCCCGGTTATACTTCTTGGGGGAAATGCTTCAAGGTATCCATTTATTATTGATAAGCACAAATCACTACAGCTGAAAATAGGGTGTATCTTATGGAACCAGACCCCATTTCGATAAACACTTTGAAGAAGCTTTTAAATTATGTTTACTTGTTTTGATCATTACTCTTATTTCCACATTTTTTGCATTCCGAATGACTCAACAGCGCTGGAGATGACTCTTCTTCACCCAACTAAATTGAAGATATTAGACTGAATTGGTTGCCTAAAATGTTCATTAGGAGTTACCCAAAAAAAGGTTGCAAAGCTCTCTGAGGATCAAAGAAAATACTCTCTCCATTTCATTTTCTTTCTCTATTTATCAACCTTTCAGTCTATTTACTTTATTTCTCTCCCAGAACTAAATGTATACCTTTTTTTTTCCTTTCCACGGTATATGTTTGCCACCTTCAACTAGTTCAAGGTCTTCAAACAGCATGAAGACTCATTGCCATTGGGCATTAGCTTTCCCATGGCCTAGACTTTCCAAGATTCTAAATAAATTCCAATGCTTTTTGTTGTATTCTGTTAAGTTCCAATGTTTTTTTGTTTATCCCTTATATACTTTGTTTATTTGAATGTATACAAGATATACTTCTGATGTTATGAATTTGTTTTTCTTTTTTAGCAGGGAAAACATGACATGCATATACCATATAAAATTAAGGCAAGCATGAAAGAAAAGAACAAAACACGTTTTGAGTGCCAGTTTCTGTTGGTTATTAATGCTAGCTCTTCTAAGCTTTTTTTCTGGTTTCTGCCTATCTGTTTATTTTTTGAAAAGATTTAGAATAATTATATGAGTAAACACCCTTTTTAGTCCCTGTCAATATCTACGAAGTCCTTTTTAGTCCCTGGCAATAAAAAAGGACCAAATTGGTCCCTGAAATTACAAAAAAAGGGCCATGTTAGTCCTTATGTCAACTCCCAAATATGTAGAGTGGCCCTTTTCTTGTACTTTCAGGGACCAATTTGGTCCTTTTTTATTGTCAGGGACTGAAAAGGACTTCGTAGATATTGCCAGGGACTAAAAAGGGTGTTTACTCTAATTATATTTACCTCCTTTTTCTAATTTCATTACTGCATAAATCTTCTGAGTTTACAACTACGATGTTCCTCCCAGGTACTCTGAAACACAGACAACCTGTGATTTCCCTAGCTGAAGAGGAACGAATTTTGGTTTAGTTAAATTTTGATTCTCAGTTTATCAAAGGTATTTGGGATATTTGGGTTAGGTAAATGAATTGTTAGTTCTCTTTGTCATTTTGATAAACAAACTATGTATAAGAAAAAATTACAAATGTAGGGTCTTTAAAAAAAATTGAGCAAGTGACAGCATGACATAGGTTTGATGCCTGAGTTAACAGCAATTTGAATTTGGCTGGAAACCTCCTCCAAAAAAGCTAAAAGTTTGATACCCACTATCTTTAGTAGATGCCTACTATCTAAATATCCTATATGATTGATTAAAATATTATGACACTCACAAGTCCAGTTCTGAATTGACTAAACTGTCATTTATTGTTGATCATTTTAATCAAGTCACATGATGTGCATGCTATTGCAATGATTTTCCAGGTTTTTGCCCAGAGGTGCATTACAACTCTGGCTATCCTCAAGGAGGTACATCTACAAAAAATTTCATCCTTAGTTAGATTAGATCGTCTTTAATGGACAAGTCAAGTTTCCCGATGTTCGGCCAAACTACCATTGATTATCTATGAAATGAGATATCATTTTGTTGACAACCTATAGCTAACTTTAAATATCATTTTCTTGTTTATCTACCACTAGCGCAAGTTAATTAGTTTAAAAGTTTTTAATCTTACCTTGAGCATCTGAACCCCTTCTTCATATGTAAGTCGTAGAGTAGATCGCAGGTACTGCAGATTCACAGGGCTATTGTCAGATCAGAAACAAGAACACATAACTAATGCATTTGCATCTGATATTACACGATAAGTATACACACTACATAACAAATCGACTAAACACTATGCAACTGATAGCACAAATCCACTACATAAGATAATTATGATTATACAAAATAGGCACCTTTAATGGTTCAAATGGATACTGAGACCTCACAGCTTCCATTTCTTTCTGACAATTCTTGTTCAAACCGTCAAATATTGCGATAAATAATCTATCAACTATATCCATAACCTGCCCAAAAACTCAAATCATCCATAAATCAGGTTATGAACCTTAATAATTTCTAAAGCAAACACATTACATATATGCTAATGAGCCAAATATACCTCAGAATAATGGTACTTGATCTCCAATTCAGCGTCAAGACCTCTAAACTCACACAGATGTCTGTGAGTGTAGGAATCTTCCGCTCTAAACACAGGACCAACCTCAAAAACACGGCCAAAATCAGCACATATAGCCATCTGCTTGTGAAGCTGAGGTGACTGGGCGAGACATGCAGGTTGCCCTTTGTAGTCCAGTCTGAAAACAGAAGCTCCACCCTCACTAGAACCAGCAATCAACTTCGGAGTGAAGATTTCAATGAATCCTTCGGAAAGTAAGAAATTTCTGAATTCCTGCCCAACAATGCAATTCAAAGTTAATTAAATCATTCAGGGTAGCATCAAACATCAATGCATTTCTTATTAGAGTGTCTCACTATGCATTTATTTCTATAAACTTAAGACTTTAAAAGTGCATGTTTTACCGTTGCAACTCGAGATTGCATGCGGAAAATGTTATAATTAGCTGCTGTGCGCAGATCCAGTACCCTGTTATTCAATCTTGTATCCTGATTAACACGAACAAGTTGTTCCCCGGCCTGCAACCATTAAAAATCATGTTACCACGGATGAAAAAAAAAAAACAAAAGGAGAAAAATGAACTCTTTTGTTATAGTAACAACAGTTATAGGGAGATCAAAATAACAATACAATTAAAATGCATATCTAATCAATAAACCTGCAACGCCCTCTCAATTTCCATTTCACTCCTAGCAGCATCCTCAAGATTAAATGCTAGAGTTGGAACAGACCTATTGATACAATACAATTTCTTCACTTGAACTTCCACCTATCAAATAAAAAATAAAAAATCATAGAACTTCAGTCAAGTTTAAAAGCTAGAAAAATCAAAAACCCTAATAAAGCGAGAACAAACCAACCTGCTGCGAAGTACCTCTGATAGGTTCGGCTGGTATGGTAACTACACCTTCAACGTCTACAATGGACTCTCTGCTGAGTGCAGCAGCGTACTTAACCATCTGAGGACTCACCGAATCAGGCTGCGCCTGCACCAAGCACTGCACGGTGAACCCATGCTGCCTTATAACCAAAAATGCCATCTTTTTTCCCACCGGACGAATAGTTTGTGCCCTTCCACGAATAAGCACCACCTCATTCTCCAGAGAACCGTCGAGAGCCTCCACCGGTGTCCAGTTTCCGACCTCAGCCGCGGTCTTCTTCGATTGGAGCTCCATGATTGGCACATCGCCGTAATTTGCGGCGAGAGGATCGGTCTCGTCAACTGAAAGTTTGGCTGCAGCCGCGGCGATTTCCTGCTGACGGCGGAGCTTTTCTTGTTTGGCGGCTTCCTTCTTCGCCGCCTTTTTGCTTAGTGCCGCTTCCGATGAAGGTAAGGGCTCTTGGGACTCCGAGGACGAAGACATAATTTGTTAAGTTTTTCGCTGAAATAGAGAAGAAATGAAGGAGGGAAAATGTGAAAATGTCTAGGGTTGCTTACAGTGCCTGAGGAAGAGAATATATATATATTACAGTAACAATACCAAACCAAAGATGCAGTTTTTTTGAATCTAATGGATTGGTTGGCCCACGGAAATGAATTTAAAATGGCCCATGTGTTTTGAATTGAATATTATTAGGGGATTCAAGATTAACGTTCATTATTAATGTTTGGGATAGCAACTTGATGCTCTATGTGACACAAATTTGTGGGATAATGATCAATGTGTCACGCTTTGACAAATAAATTATCAGAATGTCACGCGAACAGTAAAATTTTCTAAATTGCCATGCGGGATAATTCGCTACATAGTGTAGCGAATTACGTTTGCAAATAATTCGCTACACTGTGCAGCGAATTATGTCAGGTCAGATTGCCCCGTCAGCAAGAATGCCACGTGTCATCCCAGGAGTAATTCGCTGGGGTATGTAGCGAATTACAGTGAGCAGGAGTCATTCATGGCAGTCTCTTGTCGGACACGTGTCACAACTCCTGTAATTCGTTGTTCCTTGCAGCGAATTATGTGTCAGTTTGTCAGTCATGTCCAGTCATTGTCAGGACACGTGTCAATACCCCCATAATTCGATGTACTGCCTAGCGAATTATGTACTAATTTTGCCATGACTCATAGCGAAATAGGGACCGCTCTGATTGATAATGGACAGGTGTCAGCCCCCTAGTAATTCGCTAGGGGGCATAGCGAATTATGTTGCATAAAGTAGAACCTCATGTAGTGAACTTTGTTACTATAAATCAGCTCAATTCCATTTCAGGAACGGACTCTGAGTGCGAAAATTTGCCATTTATATACAAACATTACTACTTTTGTGTTATCTTTTGTGAATGTTAGTTTATTTTCTACTTTGGTAAGATGAGTGAGGGTAGGAATGATGTAATCGCCACAGTTTATTATAATGGGAGAAGATATTTGGGACCAAACGGGCAAGTTTTTGAAGGTGATGCAAAAATGTTTCGCATGAGCCCAACATGCAATCTTCACGAGCTTAAGAAGATAATCTACAAGAAGTTGAGATTACAACGTGGTCAAACTCTTGCTCGATTGACCGCTAGGTGTGCCTCTGGTAACCCCGTGCAATGGGTTGGCGTCGAAATTGTTGAAGATGACGATGTAACGTTGGTAGTAGATGCAAGCACTTCAGAACACAGTCAAGATTTATTGAATTTTATGCAGAAGTCAACTATGGTGGACAATCAAGCAGTCAATTTTCTCCACCATCCACTGACATCATCGACATAAACATGGTTCCAGTGGTTAATCTGGAAGATGAGGACGCGTCCCCCGCGCTTGCACCACAAACTCAACAACTGTTTGATGAAAGCTTGCCGGTCCACGAGATGTACGATCCATCATGGCGTACCGATAGTTCGGAGGAAGAGGTTGATGAAGGTCTTGTTCCGGACAGTGAGTCATCGGATACAGATGTCGATGGTGATTTCTAACCTAACATTTAAAAAAATCAACATTAACTAATATTATAAAATTATTAAAGCCTAATCAAAAAAGAAAATCAATTATATTAACATTTTAAATTATATTACAAAATTATAAAACCATAATTATAAAATTAAATTTATAGGGAAATTTTTAAGAGCATGAACATTTCCGTAGATAAAACTCAATTCAGATTATAGGAAAAAATTTAATAGCATAAATATAAAACTAAACTATCTTAACTTTATATGAAAGAGAATGAACCTTAAATAATACTTTAACTAACCTAATGTTTGAAATATCTACATTAACTAACCTAATGTTTAAAATATCTACACTAACTAACATTAAACATTAAATAATGCATTAAATAATACATTAAATAAAATGGATTCAACCAAAACTAACCCAAATAACTACATTAACTAACCTAATGTTTCAAAAATCTATACTAACTACTATTGAACATTAAATAATGCATTAAATAATAAATTAAATACAATATTGAAACAACATAAACTAATCAAACAAAAACACTAACCCAAATAACTACATTAACTACTACTAAACATTAAATAATAACTTAAATAAAATTTTAAAACAAAAACAACTAAAGAAAAAATAAAACTAACCTTTAGAGAGAGAGAGACCACACTTTGAGAGAGAAGGGTGAGGATGAAGAGGTGGGGGGCGGAGGGGAGTTATAGAAAAATTTTAAGGGAAGTTCGCTGGGGTGTCTAGCGAATTTGTGTATGATTGACACGTGTCCAGCATGCTGCTGTGCAGCAGGTTTTGGTTAGGAGTAATTCGCTACATACCTCAGTGAATTACTCCTGGGATGACACGTGGCAGTGATGCTGACGGGGCAACCTGACCTGGCATAATTCGCTGCACAGTGTAGCGAATTATTTGCAAACGTAATTCGCTACACTGTGTAGCGAATTATCCCGCGTGGCAGTTTGGGAAATTTTACTGTTCGCGTGGCATTTTGGTAATTTGTTTGCCAAAGCGTGGCACATTGGTCATTGTCCCCAAATTTGTTCTCCCGATCAGAATTAATGTACTCATCATAATAAAAAAAGGAAATGAAAGAAATTTATTTAATTAATGTATCAATCACAATTAATTTTGATCATAATTAATGTACCAATCACAAAACACAATTAATTTTGATTGGTATGCTAATTGTGATTGGTGATTGATATATGCTAATTGTGATTGGTGATTGATATATTAAATATTGGTTATACTATTGTTACAAATTCGAACGATGTTTGTGAGAGATAAAATACGTCAAATAAGATTACACTGTGTTGATCTCGAAAAGTTATGTGAAATAAAATAAAAAAATTATCTAATTTGGATATCTGAATCACAAGTTATGTCCTTCTGAAGTGATTGGTGATTGGTACAATCAAAATTTAATCTCATCGGTACATTAATTGTGATTGGTGATTGGTACATTAATTAAAAAGTCTTTTTCCTTCATTTTCTTTTTTTGATTGTACCTAGTACATTAATTTTGATCGGGCAACAAGATTGCGCGAAATAACGCACCAAGTTCGCTACCCCTGGTAGCAAACTTCACTTCGTTCAGTCAGCTTTTCCTGCGAAACTGTGCCACATGTCACAAAATCATTGGCTATCAAGTTTGCTACCAGTAGTAGCGAAATTGGACACCTGGCTGTCAGCTTTTCCTGCGAAAGTGTGTCATGTTTCAAGAAATCATTGGCTACTAAGTTCGCTACCAACCGTAGCGAATTTCAACGTGTAACAGTCTGGTAAAAAATATTATTCGCGTGACAGATTGATAAAAAATTGCCAAAAACATGGCAGTCTGGTCACTGTTCCCGATTATGATGGGTAAACCTGCATTATTAAATAAAATAAAAGAGGATTGATATAGAAAAATTAAAATTAAAATATATTTTGATCTAGCTTGACGCGAGGTAGGGGTGTTCGTACAATTGTTGTCTTTGTATAGTTATGAGTTGGTTTTATTATTTTCACACTTACTGTTGCATGGGCAACTAAGCATTGACTTTGTTCCGATATTTTGGAGCTCATATTCGAATATTGGCAATTTTTAGTGTGAATTGGACCCAACTTTTGATTTCACTTATTAATTTGAAATTTTTCTTATGTTGTGAATAACAATGTTTCATGTCTTTATTCACCTAGCAGGAATACTTATATTTATTTTAGATAGTTAGTATTAACATTTATTAGTTATTAGTAAGTGGACATTAAGTATCATTTTTTGAATTTTATATGTCTTGAATTATTTATGTCACTTATGTGAAATAGTTTTACATGGGTAAATCCCACAATTCATAAACTTTGGACTTTTGAGGATATATTTTTTGATAGTATGCATCTTTAGTGGAATACACTTTCAAAATGGTGTATTTTTAGAATTCTTGTGAATTATTTTATTCAATGCTAATGTGAATTATTTTCTGGGTTACTGTCTTCTATGTTTACTGTTTCAACTAGCTCGAAGTTAGGTTTTATTATTTTTGAAAAATCAGTGGCGTTACTGGCTAGATTTATTAGTTTGTTTTGATTGAATTCCATTTTCGTAATATCTTGGACTGTTAGCATGAATTGTTGTATTCAGATTTGCGTATTACTATTTACTGATTCTTAAATTCCATTAAGACTTTCAGTTACAGTTTAACATTTGGGTATTTAGTGAAACACTTGGTGTTGTGAAATTAGTGAATTATTTTTTCCATTGAATTGGGTCTCTCTTTTCAACGTGGGTTGAAACTATTATTGAGCCTCTACCAACATTTTAGAATTTTTTGGAACTTAGTACTATCTCTTTTCAACGTGGGTTGAAACTATTTATTGAGCCTCTACCAACATTTTAGAATTTTTTGAAACTTAGTACTATTCATGTAATGTTTAAGTTTTGAAATTCCTGAAACTGTTACGGTTGCTCATTTGGTCTATGCTTTAGTTTTTCTCATTTGGGATTGTGCAAACTGAATTTTGATTCAGATTTGGTGTTGTTATTAGTTTTGTTTATTGGATTATAAATTGAGCCTTTATATTATTGGACCCTTGGGTCATTTGAAATATGTTGTTAACAATTAAAGAAGTCAAAATTGTATGAAATGAGAATTGAACCCATAATCACCTAAATGGTTAGCTTACATTTTGCCAATGAACTAATGACAATTTTGGATCACATAAAGTGTGTGACATTAGTTATAATTCATCATGCAAATATTTTAAAAAAAAATTATGTGATAAATTTCTAAAAATTACATGTGATGCCTTTATGTTGGAATCATGGAGATATGTAATTTATAATTTTATCTGTCTAAAAGGAATAAATTTTAGACAATTATATATAATTTTCTCCTACTTAAGCATAATTAGTATTTTTTGTCTTATACTTTAATCTTAAGTGCTGAATTTTTATTGCAAAATTTGTTGGTTGACAAATGCAATATGATTTATGGAAACACATATTGTGAAGTGTTTCATGTTGTTAGAAACACATGTTATGAATTGT